GACCTCAAAGAGAGAAGAGCAGCAGTGTTGGCCGATGCGACAAAAGCTGGGAAAAGTATTCCCAATGCCTGCCTGTCCTTCACCAACTATAAGACCAAGATGACTGCCCTCCGACGTCCTGATGGATCCATCACATCTTCCAGAAGGCTAATGGAAAAATTATCCACAACTTCTACTCAGATCTCTTAGATAGTCACGTTCACCTGCCCACATACCAAATTCCGAAGGATGGATATGTCATTCCCAATTTTCTCCCTTCCAAAATCCGACACACCATTTTGATGGTAAAGAAGTGAAGAGCACCCGACCCAGACAAGATCAAACCTGAACACCTGAAGAATCTGCCATCAGTACTCATCAATACACTGGCTCGGCTTTTCACATGCTACCTGTCTGAATGCAAGGTTCCATTCCAATGGAAAAACAGCAGGACCATTCTGTTGTACAAGAAGGGAGACATCCATCACATCGGTAACTATCACCAGATCTTCCTGTTGTCCCTCGTCTAAAAGTTGTTCATTCAAGTCATCCTGAATAGAATAGGCAGAACACTAGATGATAGACAACCAGGTGAGCAAGCCGCGTTCTGAAAAGGATTCAGCACGATCGACCATATCCACACAGTGACCAAGCCCATTGAGGTTTTGCAAGAGTTGAAGATGCTGCTCTGTCTATTGTTAATTGATTTAAAGAAGGCCTTTGATTCTGTTGTGACTGAAGCAGTCATCGAAGCCCTAGACAAACAGGGCATTCAAACTCAGTACATCAGGATGCTCCATGAGGTGTACTACGGATTCACCACCAGGATCTCACCATTCTACAAGGAAGTGATCAATTACGTAAAGAGAGGGGTTCGGTAGGGTGATACCATTTCACTGAAACTCTTCAGTGCCATCCTCGAGAATGTCATGTGACAACTAGAATCAGAAGAAAGGGGAGTGAAAATAGACAGTCAGCAACTACACCACCTCCACTTTGCTAATGACATCGGTCTAATAGCACCAAACATTACCCAAGCGATGCGAATCCTGGCTGACTTCGACCATGAGTGTGGAAAGTTCAGACTGCAGCTGAATCTCACCAAGACAATGTTCATGAAAAATGAACTAGTTCCTGACATTTCATTTGCTCTCAACGGAATGAACATCTCCAAATGCAGCAGCTATGTGTACCTGGCTTGAGAACACAACATGAGGAACGATTTGGTACCGGAACTGTTCAGGAGGATGAGAATGGTGTGGAACCCCTTCAAGAGCATCAAAGAAGTTGTTCAGAGGATGAAGAACCTCCGATTCTGGGCACATCTTTTCAACTCCATTCTCCTTGCACTAACATACGCCTCAGAGACCTGGGCCCTACGCAAACAGGATGAGAACGCTATTCGGATCACCCAAAGAGGAATTGAAAGAGCTATGCTTGGAGTATCATGCTCGAGTGAGAGAAGGAATCCGGAGTTCCGCCCTCTATTGACGAACGAAGGTTAAAGATGCTGCCTTGTTTTCCAAGATGTCGAAAATCAGATGGGCCAGTCACTTAATGTGATTTGGAGACAACCACTGGACTAAAGCCATTACCGACTGGATTCCACGAATGTCAAATAACACCTGGCCGCCCATCTACAACATCTCGTTTGTTCAGGGTCTTAACGAAAAAGTTGGACTTCTTCGTTAAGACCCTGAACAAACGGTTTGATGCTCTTCATGTTCTTGGAGTGAGCAGATGCCACTGGGCTACATTATTACATGACAGGGTCGAATGGAGTCATTACTGTCACCCGCTCAAGCAAATCGATGTACAACAGGATGACAATGATTACAAGTGATTACAAGTCCAAAATTAAAATTACATCTCTAAGATTTTATAATGAATTGTGATATACCTGAACAAAACTCAAGTCTTGTGAATTCCAGTCAATGGTCTCTCCATTTTCTGTGACACAAATATTTTTGCTAAGAATAGATTGCTCGAGCGGGCCCAGTAACGTCTCCATTGGAGACTTTGTTGTTACTGTGTCTGGCATATCGAATACTCTCGGTAGCTTGCCGGGCTCTCCGAGAGGGGCGGAGGAATCGAACTCGGGTCGGCCATGTTGGCTGCGTCCAAGGCAGACGCCCTACCCGCTGTGCACCCAACAAAGTGCATGATACATTAATAGATACACAGTAAATACTATATTACAAAGCACCGGCATTGGTTTTACTGGGCTGTTCAGTTATTCATAAGTACATTGTAAAGAATGTATGTGCTTTAGAACAGCTTCTTTTAAAAGATTGTTTTAATGTTTGGGACAAGGCATGTCAATAGTAAGTCCAGTTGTCTGAATTGCAAATTCAGAAATATTTTCCATACATTTTTTATGATATCCCTCCTGCAGAATCTAGAATTCCTCTGGGAACTTTATCCCATTTACCATTAAAATCTTCCTTGGAAAATGAGTGTAATCTATTATTCTATATTTACTTGTTCTTGTAGAAGAATATATGCCTCAGAAAAGTAGAGTACTCCTAATGTGACCTTATTTCACTAACTAAGATTAATTAGACTTAGGAATTGCAGTAGTGTCTTTATGGTTGGGTGTCCCACTTCAATAACACCTGTGGGCTTGGAAGTAGACCCATTAGTATTGGAAACAGAGTATGCCTTATGGGAGCTGATTCCAAAAGGTCAGTGGCACTCATAACACCATCTTTTATATGCATTTCAGTCTTCAATTGCAGAAGAGAAAAGCTTTTAGCAAATTGTGCTTTTTGTTAATTCAAGTAATGCCATGATATAGTAAAGGTGTACTGGCATGAATCTCTTAGTGGTTTTATTTTCCGTATGTTAAATGAAGGGCTGGAACAATAGCACAGTGGGTAGGGCGTTTGCCTTGCACACAGCCAACATGGCCGACCCGAGTTCGATTCCTCCGCCCTTCTCAGAGAGCCCGGCAAGCTACCGAGAGTATCTCGCCCGCACAACAAAGCCTGGCAATCTCCCCGTGACGTATTCGATATGCCAAACACAGTAACAAGAAGTCTCACGATGGAGATGTTACTAGGCCCGCTTGAGCAAATCGATGAACAACGAGGACCGTGACCGTGACTGTGTTAAATAAAGATGATAATACCTACCTCAAAACACTGCTGAGATGATTAATTTAAATATTATATGGTCAATTTATAGTATGGAAAAATTCATAGTAAATCTGTTAAAGAGTAGATTTTGTTCCTTAAGGGCCTCCAATGAAATGTTAGTAATTATGTTTCCAAGAAACCACCCTTGGAATGAATGCTGGGATTTTATAATTTATTTAAATTTGGGGGCTAGAGAGATAGACAGTTCAATAGGTTGGAGCACATGCTTTGTATCTGGAGAGCCCTGATTCAATTCCCAATACTGCATGTGCTGGGAGCAACCCTAAGCACAGCAGAGTGTGACCCCAAAACAGATTCTTTTTTAAAAATTTACTTATTTCACTCCTTTTACCCAATTTTTATTATTTTTTGTATTGTCCATGTATTGCACAATTGGTTGTAGTTGCACTTGTGGCACAAGGGATTACCACAACAATCCTGGAAAGTTCATTTGATGATTTGTGATATTGTCAGGATTCAACTTGCAGCTTCATACAAGGCAGGCATTCTATATACTAAGACATCTTCCCAGGCATAATTTTTGAAAAGCTCCTTCAAGCACATATTTTTTAACTTCTTTGTCAAATTAAAATAAGGGAAGAAGAGAGTATAGAAACTTTACTATGTGGTTATTACTTTATATTTTACATAAAATAACCTAAAATAGATGTGTTTTCTTTTTCTAATATATATATTACAGACTGAACAAAGGGAGAGGGAAGCTAAGCTGTAGTTAAATTTGTGACGTAGTTCTCCTGTTATTAATTATCAACTGGTCTTCACTTATTTATTTCCCCTATTTTATACCACAGATATTCATTGAGTGACAAAAAAGGAGTCTTTTAATTTCTGAACTATCCAGTAAGCAAATTAGAAAAAATACAACAGTAAATTTGACAGAAAAATACTAAAGACTGGGATAAAGGAGTGGGATAAAGGGATGTACACATTGAGGCGAGGGCAAACTTTAAGCATGAGAAGTTCTTGTTTTAAACTAGAAGAATATGTTTCTGTCTCTTAATCTTGTGAAGATATGTGCATTTGTTTATCACTGTTCCACTTATAAATTCATTCAAAATGTATTTAATTCATTCATACAAATTACATATGACAAGACTCTGTTAATAGCAAGAGAGCAAAACATTTGTAAAATATATGTTTTTCAGTAACATTGCTGTTTTTCAGCAGTGGTGATCCGGATATCTCTGTATTCTAAGAGTTATGTGTATTTTATATTTCTATGCATCTCTGATAAATTCACATGTGCATGGCAGCAATCTCTTATATTCCAATAACTTCACTTTCTTTTGATGTGACTATGTTCATGAAACATGGATTTTTACTTTTGAATTTTGTAACCTGAAGGTTTGAGGTTTAATCACTACCGATGTAAAAGCCATTATAAAATCTGTAAGTTCTTTTTTACACATATTTTACCTGTGCTGTTGTCATGACATATATTTACAATACTTGCTGAAGTATAAATCTTTGCATAGCTCTTGGATTTGAGACAAGAAATATTGCCAGAGCCCAGCTCTGCAAACTCCTTCAGACTATAAGTGTTCCACATTCTCTGGCAAAAGCAACCTTAATTTTCTTTTTCTCTATCTTTTCCCCAGAAAAACAAAATTAAGTGAGTAGACCTAATAAAGTTCTGCCAGCATTGATGATGAAAGTACAGCTGTGAAAATTAAACAAATATACTATTGAGTTGCATACAGTTTAATAGATTTAACAAACTAGGTTTAATAGATTCTGTGTATTTATTCACATCTCTGATATGTCAGGGTATATATTCATGCAATTTCTGCTTAGACTTACTTTAGAAGAGTAACTGCTAAAACACATTTACTGAGCCTTTACCTATTGTATTTCTTCTACTAGGGAAACAGAAGTATCTTTGTGCCAGCAGAAATGATTGCACCATTGATAAATTCCGGAGGAAAAATTGTCCATCTTGTCGTCTTCGAAAATGCTATGAAGCAGGGATGACTCTGGGAGGTATGAAGTATTCTTTTTTTGTTCTCATCTAATCCCCTCATTGTTTCATGAAACAAAATTTATCTACTTTTTCCCCCATAAAAAGGTGTCATTATGTAAAATACTGTTAATGATAGTTTCATGCATCCATCTTCCCAACACCACACTTAACATGATTGTTCACTTCCCTCCACAAATATCCCATGGGGGCCTCCCAGTAACCAATTTCCAATTGTGTCCTTTGGCTGTTTGTTGCCTCTTGACTGTACCTTTATGTTCCACATATAAGAGATATTATTCTGTATATGTTCCTTCTATTATGACTGACTTCACTGGAATATATCCTTAAATTCCATTCACATAGTAGAAAATTGCATTATATAATCTTATTAGCATACATAGTATTCCATTGTGTATATTTGCTACAACTATGCATCAATAGATGTATATTTGGATTGTTTGCATATACTGACTACTGTACTAAGTTCTACAATAAGCACAATATACCCTTTCAAATGATGTTTTTGTATTTGGATGGTAGATGCCACATTTCTACATTTAATGTTTTCAAGGATGCTACCTATGCTCTGACCTCTTCATGAATAAAGTGGTCATTTGTTGGTGCCTTTTTTTTCTTTTTGGGTCACACCCATCGATGCTCAGAGGTCACTTCTGGCTCTGCACTCAGGAATTACTCCTGGCAATGCTTGGGGGACCATATGGGATGCTGGGGATTGAACCCGGGTCGGCCTTGTGCAAGGCAAACGCCCTACCTGCTGTGCTATTGCTCTGGCCTCTGATGCTGCCTTTTGAAATAAGCAACCATGCTACTTCCTCCTTTGGGGTTCGTTATATAAGCAAAAGAACTAAAGTGGTTTTAGGGTCCATATTTGGATAAATAAGAGTGGATTTGACCACGAAGAGTTTTCTAGGGGAAATAAAAAGTAACTGCTCTGACTATATGATGTTTATTTGTGGCACAAATGAGAGAACCAGGTAATACAAAATAATCACAGGTTCATAATGACCCAGGCATATGTTGGCCCTGAAAATCCAGGAGTATCTGTTAGATGGTACCTAGGTTGTAGGGCTAGTCACTTGGAATGAAATGCTGATTGTCTTTGGATTGTGTGACTAGAGAGCCAAACAGTGCTAATTTCCTGTCCCACGTTCTCCCAGGAATGAGCATCCCTTTTAGTGATTTCCTTTTATTTGGAGATCTATTGATAATTTAAGAAACCATTTTTTCCTTAGCACAGGTGTAAAATGCTTCTCTTTCAAGGACAACCCCTAGTCGTAAGGCCTTCTATTCCCCAGTCTATCCTGAGTGTTGTCACAACTTCAGAAAAAAAATAGATGATATGTAATGCCCCTTCAAACTTCTTCATTTATTCATATTCATATATGCTCCATGCCAGAGTTGTTCTTATTTCTTGCTGTTTCCAAAAATAAGCAACATTTATTTAAAAAAAAAGCTTAGTCGTCAATTTTGATTTGCAGATGAAATCTGAAGATACACAAACTAAATGCCTGAAACTTTAGCCACATTATCTGATTACTTAACATCCTGGAAAGCCAAGTGCCTAAAATTCTGCCCCTCCCAACCTGACATACTTCCGCAGACTAATTTAGAGCAGCATTTCTTTTTTTTATTAGTGAAACACCATGAGGTACAGTTATAGACTTACAAATTTTTGTACTTGGGTTTCAGTTATACAATGATCAAGTACCCCTCTCTCCATCAGCGCCCATCCTCCACCACCACGGGTCCCAGCATCGCTCCCAGCCCCATCTGCCCCATCCCACCCTGCTTCCCTTTTGTTCTCCCTCTCTCCTTTTGGGTCCTGTGGTTTGCAAGATAGGCATTGAGTGGCAATCATGTTTGGTCTATAGTCTACTTTCAGCATGCTTCTCCCACCCTGGGAGGATCATCCCAACCCCCTTTATTTGGTGCTCCCTTCTCTATCTGAGCTTCCTTTTCCCCTACCATGTGTGGCTGGCCTCCAAGTCATGGAGCAAAATTCCTTGTACTAATCTCGGCCACTCCTGGGTGTTAGTCTCCCATTTTGTTGCTTTATGTTCCCCAGATGAATGCAATATTAGTGTGTCTATCCCGCTCTTTCTCACTCATTTCTCTTAACATGATACTTTCCATGTAGTACCACTTGTATGTGAATTTCATGACTTCATCTTTTCTAACAGCTACATAGTACCCCATTGTGTAAATGTACCAAAGTTTCTTTAACCAGTTATCTGTTCTCGGGCAGTCAGGTTTTTTCCAGATTCTGGCTATTGTAAAGAGTGCTGCAATGAACAAACAAGTGCAGATGTCACTTCGACTACTTTTTTGCCTTTCTGGGATATATTCCCAGGAGTGGTATTGCTGGGTCAAATGGGAGCTCAATTTCTAATTTTTGAAGAATCGTCCATACTGTTTTCCAAAAGGGTTGGACTAGAGCAGCTTTTCTTAAACTTCTTCCACTCACATCTCCTTTTTCAGTGAAAATAGCTGGGAAAGCCCTTTCAGAAGCACCTTGATTTCATTATGCATTTGAATTTTAAATTAATATTGGTCATTGCACATTCAGAGATGTTTTACCCTAGCCAAAATTTGCAACTCCTACATTCAGTTAAACAACATCATATGTGATTAAACAGTTTTAAAATGTAAGATTTAGAGCACCTTCCCATCTTTGATTCTGCAGAGTTCAATATATTCAGTCCTGTGTTTGCCTATTTGCATATTTACAGCAATATAATATAATCTGCTAAGTCTTCATCTGGAAAATTCTATCTCCATTTTTATAAATCATCAATATTTAAAAAATCATTGTTCTACAAATGAATTGATTCATGCTCTGTTGCAGAAAATTTTAACAGAAGCATCTCAAAGTATGTCTAGTACTCTCAGACATCAGAATAATGTATTCTGTGAGTGTTTTTTCAGTTAGTCACATCAATTGAGACTCAAATGTCAGGAAAAATGCAGTCTCATTCTTGTTTCTTGGCTTACTCGAGGAAAATACTACAAACCTGGTGAAATGGAGAGAAAAAATCAGAAGTGGTGCAACTTAATACTGAGAAAATTTGACAAAGGTATTGATAAGGAAACTTTCTCCTTGTAAACGCTTTGACCTTATTGTGAGAGTTCTGTTATACTCAAATCTCAATTGTTTACCCTCAATTGTATAAATTATATATACAAGGTGGGGATCTCCCATATATAGAATCTTAATTTTCCATCTATTGATAAGAATTTTAAGCAAGTCTGGTTTGATGCATATAAATTTTAATGATAATGAAAATACTCATAACCTTTTAAGTCCAATACTTAAAATTCATGACTCAGCTAACACCCTTGATTATTTTTCAGTTTGTGATATAACTACAGTAAACTTACATATAGCAGTCTATATATAATAGCCTTGCACTTGGCTGACTCTGGTTCACTGCCAAGCACCTAATGAGGCATTTTCTGCTGAACAATGCCTGAGTGAAAAGCCAGGAGGAAGCCCTGAAAAATCTGTGTGTGACCCCAAAATTGAAGAAATTCCAACAACCAGAGCATCTACAAAAATCATAGTAATCACCTCACAATTAAAGTATCACTAGATCTTTTCTGGAATCATATTCTAATGAGTTCAATATTATATTCAGCTACCATGTCAGACGAAAAACAGTTGTAGCTATCCTTTACACAAAATTGAAAAGTAAGGAGCTGGAGCAATAGCACAGCGGGTAGGGTGTTTGCCTGGCACACAGCCGACCCGGGTTCGATTCCCAGCATCCCATATGGTCCCCTGAGCATTGCCAGCAGTAATTTCTGAGTGCAGAGCCAGAAATAACCCCTGTGCATCACTGGGTGTAACACAAAAAGCAAAAAAAAATTAAAAATTAAAATCTTCCAGAATGGGAATTAATGAGTGAACAGGCATTAGTGCTTCAGTTATATTGGTGATATGAGCAAGTGGTATGCCTATATATACAAAACACAGATTTAACAAAACTGAAAACATGAGATTTAAGCTGCAACAAGTGGAACTTTGTAATGTGCCTGTCAACTTGACAGGCAGGGATAGGGCAAGGGCTCAGGGTGAGGAAGAAATATGGAAACATATGTAGAGGAAGTTGTACCCTGGTGGTGGGATTGGTATTAAAATATTATATGCCTAAAACTCAACTATTAGCAACTTTTTAAATCACAGTTCTTAAAATAAATATATAAATATGTTGTAATTAAACCACAAGAAAAAGAAAATTATTATTCTAAATTCGTCCCTCTATTTTCTACTACATTTCTGTAAGTCTTCCTTGGTGTAAGTTTTTAACTTGACAATTCAGTGAATTTACAACTTTAAATCAACAATGAATAAATATAGAAAACTTCAGTAAAGGTGTATTTTCTGAACTAAGACTTGCCTCTCACAGAGTTTGAGTTTTAGGCTGCATGATCTGACTAAACTGACTTTTGCTGAAGTGTTTCATCTATTATTTGATGATGGGATATTATCAACTTGGGTATAGTTAAAAAACACAAACTTCTTCCAGCTTCTTGGTGTTTGTCCCTCCTACCTTCCATTCTACCTGTCTACTTCTTTCATTCATTTAGTAACATGTTAACAATAGCATCAACTATTTTAGTTCTGATGTTACAATATTACAAAGCAAAAGTGTCAATGCCCCTCCCTCACTAAATTTTTTGAAATTTAGTTACTATAGTTTATGCTCTATGTTTTCACTAGTCTTGACAGTTATATATTTGTTATCTCATTTTACCACCACCAAAATGTCCAAATTCCTCTACCAATGTCCTAGAGATTTTTCCTTTCTACCTCAGTATTTCCCTCCCCCATGCATTTCTCTCCACCAACCTGGTATTCTAAAGTCTGTAATCCAATGCCCAGGGTTTTTTATCGTTTGATGTTATCTATATGCTTAAATTTTTTTCTGTATGTACCACAGAAGAGTAAAATCATCTTGTACTTGTCCTTATCCCTCTGGATTGCTTTGCTCAACATGGT